CTCCGTCTAAGATTTTTGTAGAGTGTTCAGTTTATATAATATATGAAATGTCCCAAAAATCGCAACCTATTTTTAAATATAATAGGAATTTTTAAAAAACAACTGTATGCCAAGAAAATAAATATGTATTAAAACAAAAAAAAATAAGAAAAGTTTTAGCAGTACAGTATTGTCTCTATAGAAGCGACGCTCTCGGGGCTCAACGCTCGGCTATATCGTGGACGAGAAACGATTCTTGATACTTTGTTGACGCCTACTGGAGGCGGCGAGTATAGAAAAGAACAGCGAGCATATGACAAAGAGGGACTGAGCGGCCGAGCATCGCCGAATTTGCTATCGCTTCCTTCGCTTCGGGTCGGCTGTAACGAAACACAGGCGATGTTTATGCGAGCCTATACGAAATCGGTGTTCTAATTCTGACTTCTACCTCTCTTGGTAGAGGTCGCAGAATGAAATACTGATTCTGTATAGGCTCGCGTAAACATCGCCTGTGTTTCGATACAGCCGACGTGGAGTCACTTGAGCGATGCATGCCTTTGATTTCTTATTGCGTTAGTAAATAGGACCTAAATTGTATATCGTATTTGGTGTCATTTTAATCAGAAAAGTGTCACGAATATGTTGATGAAGTTTGAAAAAAGGAAGAACAAAAATAAAGATGAATTTCGTTGTTGATTTAATATTGTATATGTACTAGTTAAATCGTGTCATAACATCAGTACATATATGTATGTATCGATCGTTTACTGCAATAGTGATATAACCCGAAAAGATATACATAACTTGCGAATTTAAACTGTTTAACCAACTTATTTTACTCTGAGTTGTCTCACGATTTCGGCAAATAAATGATAGGCCAATTAAATTACAATTCCTTTTTTCAGATGAGGATACACTTTAAAGAAAGGTCAAATGTATATTATAATTTATGAAAAACAATAATAAAAATTATGTTGTACTTGATCTTAGTTAAATCAGAAAACTGTCACAGACATGTTAAAAGTTTCAAAACAAGAAAACGAAAAATAAAAAATTTGTATTATTGCACTAGTGTTGCCTTAGTAATTTGAGCCCGTATCGTATGACAATGTTCGACGACCGACTGTCAAACGCGCCGCTATCTTGGGGAACCGCCCATAGGAAGGCATACTCGCCGATACAGCGAGTGCTTAGTTCTAACGGTACGCAGTGGGGATAAGTAGAGGGGATATGATATTTGCCTATATCGTGGACGAGTTCCGAGCTTATATAGAGAAAATACTGTATTGTAAAATATTTGTGAAATTTAGAATTTGTTTATATCGGAGACAAATCTGATAGGTTCTTAAAAAAAGAACTGTAGAACTTTTTTGTTAAAAACTTTTGTTAAGATCTAAATCTTAAAATATTTATGGAATTTAAGATTTGTTTTAAATTACAGATAAAGATTTATAGAAGATTTTTTAAATTACAAAAGACTTTTGTCAGAAATTTTGGACCTCTTCAGTGTAAATACCTATATTTTTATGTCTTATAGTTGTTTTCCTAAAATTGCAATTATTACTTAAAACAAGTTGTACGACTTCTGTTTAAAATTGTATTTAAAAGTGACACAAAGAAGTGCAATTTACGCGTGCCTGCACTGCTTACTTTGCAAGTACCATTTTCATATAAAATTTTTAAAGTTTTTATCAAGAATTAAAAAAATAAAATAGATTTGCGAGAAATGCAGGGAAATACGTATAGTTTAATTCTGAACTTCTGCAGCAAGCTAATCGGGATTCTGCATACTTCAAGAACTATTAATTAAGTTCTTGAGAACAAGAGTAGCCCAAGGCAAATTTTTATTCATTTTCAAACATTTGTACGTAAACTGGTATTGAGTGAACAAAAACTACAAGTTGTTTACATTAAACCCCTGTATTTGAAAAGCGTTGGAAAAAATTTTAAAGGATGACTCTCTTGTGCCAAAATAAGAAGAAAATCAAAAACGGATAATTGCGTTCGAAGTTTGTTTACTTTCTGATATTGGAAGAAAGTATATAGCAATATTTCCATGACAAAAACATTTGAAAACATTTATTTGTGGAAAAACTTTAATAAGATCACTTAATCATATTTCGACCAATAAAAAAATATATGTATTTGAATTTACGTATGTATGTGTTTATTACAATTAACACAAATGCATGTAAACGATTAAATTGATTTCGATAAAAATTTAAATATGTTTAAACAATATGTGGAATAAATTTTGAGGAATATTCAATTAAAAGAATTTGTATAAAAAGACGGAATAAAATTTTATTATATCTTCCCGAATAAAGAAAATATTAAATAAAACCTCAGTTCTTTGCGTATTTTTTAAAATTATACTTTCAGACACAGTTTCCAACGTAATTTTGTCGTTTATGATTTTCGTCTTATTTTCGAACGAATCCTTAAAGTTGTTACCCATAGCCAAACACCTTATATAGTTTGTTACATCTAATTACGAAAATAAGTCGACATAAAATAGTAGAATTTAGTCTCCAATGGAATACTTATTATAAAATACGTTAATGTTTCATTTCAAACAGTAGCAAACGAAGAAATATCGTTCGAAACAATGTTCTAATTTTTAGTAAACATTCACGGTCAGCCCTGTCATGATATTTCTTTACGTATCAAATTTTCTGCTCTAATTACTTTTACACAGCACCTCCGCATTTTCCATTAATCGCAACTGTATAATAACGACACGATTGTAATTTGGTGGAGGATTACATACCAATTTTTCTTCCAATTCTCTGTACATAACCTAATTCCGAACAATACATCGTCGCCTTAACAAGAATATGCTGTCTGTAAAATAAATTAACCGCGATTACCTTTTAGTTAATTTCAAAGTTCGTGTAAATTTAATCCAATAGTGAAATGTAAATAAAAATATCAATTGCAGAGTGGAAGTATTAAAGAGGCTGATACCAAATAATGATTTTCTGATCACATAAAAGAAACATTATTTTGTTGTTATAATAGAATGATAATGATTTATAAAGATAAATCAATATTATAAAAACAAGGTTTTTGTAGAAAACAATATAAAAATGTTAAGTGTTATTTCCTTCTTCAGTTAAACTTTTTTATAAAGAGATTAATTTTTAATTTTAAATTATAAATTAAAATTGTTTGTAGAAAGTGCCCATTGGAACGAAATATTTTATAGAATATCATCGTTCAACCTCTAAATTCCTTGAAATATTATATAAATCTTCGAAGCCACAGCTGTAGAATCTCGTTAATGCAAAATCGTTATCATTGGACGTCACATTGTACCCAGTTATTAGGAATTTGTATTCTATTGAACCATAAATTTCATAAATCACCAATAAAATAAAAACATACAAAATTAATTCTTGTTCCGGCTGACCCAGTTATTAGTCAATAGAAATATCTCTTTCAAGCCCATTGTACGGTCTAGTTCATTCAAAATGTATTTAAGCTCCTTTCGAAAGAAAGCATGCTTGAAGGTAACTATTGTTCCACTTACAAGCATGTTTTTCTTTTGAACAAAGTAATCTCCCATTACGCGTCGACAGAAGCATGGTGCCTGGAATGGTGCTTTCTGAAAGAAAACAGGCAGCTTGAAACTACGCTGTCTGTAAGTACATACGTGTACTTAACAACGATCGACCACGTCTTATTTCCTTTTGTTTTTGTTCACATCGAGTCAATCCATTAAATAAAATAAATATTCAGAGAAGTCTGCAGTTGCACTTAACTAACAAACCAATCAGCATCTTCATTCACGATGTAACTGTCGATGCGTTGCCTTTTTCTAGAGTTAAAAGCATTGGCACGTAACATTTAATCAAGAAATAATCTCTCTCTACCCAATTTTGCCACTTAGCCCCTTGGTACTTCGACTCTGCAATGATTGCGTCGTTAACGCTAAATTACTCTTGAAGTACACTTGCACCTAAGTTTCTCGAGTACGTCTCTGCCATCTGTCAAATAATCAGCTCGATCTTGGCTTCTTGTAAATAACCGAACAGGGGATGGTAATGTGAATTATCGGCACCTATTTGTGCATTGCGTTCTCACTTCCCAGCAGCTCATTTGATCCTACACGCAAGTAGCGATGGGACCAATTCGGTTTTTCACATCGACAACCTTTCCAGCAAGTTCCACAGTCGATTGAAACTCGATTGACCGTTCGAAGCACCTTGTCGCGTCTGACACAACCAGCATGGTCAGAAAAATAAGTTAAATCCCGTTTTTGATGAATAGGGAAGGAGGCACCTGCGTCATGTTGCGTTTCCGTACTCTTCAAAAATGAGACTTAATTTATTTTTTCTGGCTACGGCTGCTACTTCTATGCCATACTATCTTGACAATATGGCGGCGATAGCGCAGTGCTACCCTCGAGCAGACTGTTTAAATCTTTCCGATTATACTGATCGTTTGATATTATTGAAGGGGAATTAAAATAAGAAAGTATTTATTGTTCGCATGGAAATGTGTATATTGTGTTCAATGCTTAAAGAAAAATTCACTTTAACCAATAAAAAAAATGGAAAATAATATATTTTCTGTAATAACACTAAAATACCGATATACTAAAATAACTATATTCCTGAATATAAAAATAGTCATATTTTCGTGTAAAACACATTTTTATTAGCTAAGTTTGAGTAAATTTGTATAAAAAGGAACCCAGTTTCAAAAATCCTTATCTTCACACATGTTATCGAAGTTCCAGTCTACACTTCCTTCTATGTTTATGACTCTTCAGGAAACAATCAGAGATGTCTAAAACCTTTTTATTATTATATGAAACTGCATTTCCAGTAAACGTCAGATTCGCGCTTTTGACACAAAAATCTCGCCTTTTCTTTTTTATTACACCAGCAAGTAACAAATAGTTTCCAGAAAGATATCGAAATCACGTGCAGTATGGTTCCCATCGCTACATTCGAGTCACAATTTCGCCTCCTTTACCAGTTTCCACGATTCATTTGTTTCTCGCGTCTACACAGTGGACACGCGATCGAAGAACTTTAAATCGGTCGGTGTAGGGGCAAAAGACATGCCCTTAACACCCATGGTTATTCAAGGGATGGTAATGCTCGAGAACAACTTGGCTGATAATACTAGGAATCTTTCCACCAGTACGATGTCGCCAATTAATTGCACAACGGTAATCTACGCCTTTCCTGAAGAGGATCGTGTCGTTGTTGGATATATCAATGAATGGATCAATGCATATTCATTCATATCAAGTAAGTATTACACTGTTCCCTTCTCGTTCTATCATTCTATCAATCAGTACGTCCCCTCATTGACTTTCTTTCTTGGTTTTGATCTCTTGCCGACGAAAGCTATACTACATTGCAGCATGTCGGTAAAAAGAGATTTCGTACATATCAACTGCTGGAAAGTCGTCCACAGTCGACATATTACTTACGATCGATAACTTACCTGCACTGGATAATAGAAAATCTTTTATTTCCATCGTTGGTAACATTACTTATTTACACAAGAACCACAGACGAGGTAAACGAGTAGACCGAATGTATTTTTTCGGCCCATTTTTCAGAGGCTCTAAAGTCCCATTATCATTTTAACGGAATGAAAGCTGTACGGTCCAAAATTGAGCATCAATCGATTAATTTCATTGGAGTAATCAATCGATTAAGATTATTTAAAGATTTCAAGATCATTAAAATACGTAAGGATGTACCTCATTGATAAGTATACCGCAAATCCTCTATTTTTTATTTCACATTGTAATACATCATTTATTTAAAAAATAACTCGGCAAAAACGTATTTGAGACTCAAAATCAGTTTTATCAGTGCCCACCGGGGGCTCCAGGAATTCCTCATTCCACTTTCGCACACTATCCACTTTCTCGACTCTTCGAAGTTGGAAGGGTTAAAGAAAGAAAGCAAATGTAAGCCTTTCTTTCTCACTCTTGCATCGTCACCCGTTCGCATCATCAGTAAACGACAAAGGCCATTGTGACTGACATCCCTTATATTTCTGGAAACGAGACCTGAGCGCTTTTTGTAGATTCGTTGACTTTCCACAGCAAGTGACCGTACGTTATAGTACATATACATATAGTATATGTATACATATTATTATACATGCTAGGAATTATAAAGTTGTATAGCTTCCGCCGTACACCTATTTTCTAATATAGGAAAATTTTAAAATCTAAAGAAATTAGAGAATACAGTCTTACTTGTCATCTTTATTTAGCAATTATAATGAAGTTGCCTCATTAAAATTCGTAAAAATAACGAAGTTATAGCCATTTAGAGGGAAGTGTACACAGTGGTAAATAATGACACCGGAAGTTGTGAATGCGTTTTTCTCGAAACCATATTTTCGAAACTGGCTGACATAATATCACGAATTCAAATTGATTAATGGATTTGAAATTTATAGACATGCCTTTGTAGTCGGAACTAGGGATATTAAGATGTGATGTGTTATTCTATTTCTTTTTCAATCTCAAAGACGAAAAAAATCCTCGCATTTTGATTCATTTGTTTCAGATGAACAGAATAGTCTCTATGATGTCAGTCATCTGAACCTGTTTTTCGAAACAATCTATACATGTCATTATCGAACTCCTATACTTTTTACTATTTTGCACTAAAAAAATTTGTGTATATCCTTGAAAGATATATAACAAAGTGAGTGAAACATTTGTATTCAAAAGTCTCATGGTTTTTTCGTAAAAAATTCAGAAAAAATGTTTATTTTACTAAAAGACCCCCTTAAATTGTATACCTGCTACCAACAACACCGATGATCGAATGTAACATTTTATAGTTTTACGGTATATACCTGACGACTGTTTTACTGTTTTGGCTACAACACAGTTTACAAGATATTTGTTAGTACAATATCTATGCGACTAAATATATTAAATAGTACAATGATTCAATTTAAGGGAAGATATCAAGCGGCTACCAAGCAATCAATTGTAATAAATAACATGGTAGCATTCGCTTCCGAAAAGTGATTCACTCTCAAAAATCACGAACTCCCCTTTTCATAATAAATACGAAGTTAGTTTGAAATCACTTGAAATAACATAAAATCTCATAAAATTAATTAAAACGAAATCAAAATGAAATTAGTCGTGAAATCATGAAATCGCTTGAAACCAGAATCATAATGCACAGTTGTGCGATACTATTACGAATTTTTCTCTGTTTACGCGACATCAAGCATCGTTACAATTTATCACGCGTTATTTTTTACTTTTCCATTCCGAAATTGTTAAGATTTGCCGTACATGTGATTGGGTTTACGCTGGGGTCATTAAGGAACGATGCCATTATTGAAGACGTCTTTTCTTTTTAAGGCTGGAAACAGACAAGCGGTGCGATGCCGTTGCAATATCGCAGCGATTTTATATTATTCCTTGTTTTGCAATTAAAACAACCAAGACAAACATAGAAACGGCAATTTTGTCTGTTTTAAAATAAAATAAGCAACAATTTAGCATAATATTATATTCATTTATTATTATGTGTGATATTGTTAATTAAACTACATACAAATTTATTGTTTTTAAGAATATTTTATACAATGAGGAAAAAACGAAATCTGTATGTAAATCTAATAAATCTAGTAAATTTTTGAAACATAATACCAGGGCTTCTCCGATAATGTTTTGTTTACGTTGTCATGACGTCGTGATTCAGTTGAATGATGTCTAACAATCATTTAGCGACAATGGACGCTTCTAGGAGAGAAACAAATTAACAGAGACGATTTACGATAAATATAAATTAATTGCAAATAAAACAAGTTAATCTACATTTAAGGAAGAAAGGCTTGATGATGAATGTAGAAGACTAAAGATGATTTTTGAAAAATATTTGAAATAAGACTAAATCGTATTAATAATATAAAAAGATGAACGTTCGTCCGTAAACATAGTAAAAAAATGTCTATTTTTTTAATAGTTAAAATATAATCAGGGGGTCTTAAAACGTGTATTTCCATAAAAAAAATTTTTGAAATTTTTTTGTTATTATTGTACTTTATACCTATATAAATTGGAAAGTAAAAATGCGTGGGCAGTCAAGATTCGAAATCGTATGCCGGTGATGCGAGGTCGAATTTCAGCTGTGTTGAGAGCAAGAAAGGGAAAGACTCAGGTTCGCCTTCTTTCTCGAATCCCCGAAACTATACGAAGCGCCAGAACTCATATACAAAGTGGCTATGCATTAGTGTGTGTAAGTGGAAGGGCAGTTTCCTTTGGGCACCAGCCTGCCTGATAATACTGGATTGCCTTTTTCAATCCCTCCCATAGTCAACTTACATGTATTTACGCACACACTACAGCTATCTACCCATCAAAACTAATCCAGTGAATAGTTTCTCAACTGACCGCCATCCATGAGAAGAGGACGTTAAAATCACCTCCGAATTTTCAACTCGGTATGGCAGTTAGATTGGGCCTCAAAAGTCCATAAGGTGAAACTGGTCTACTCGTATACCTCGTCTGTGCAAGAACCATCATATAATACAATATCGTACTTATTGAGAAATAGTATATGCCAGAGAGTAAAAGTTTAGGAAATAAATTTGTTGAAGTCTTGGGGAAAGAGGTTTAGTAAGGATAGTTTGGAAACTATGCTAATTTAATTTCTCTTACGTAGAATACTGAAGGAATGCATAGGTGAGAAGTAGGTTGCATCCGATTGCTCGAAGCGCGACGTGTTTTTAAGGTTTGCAGTCAAAGAATCGAGCACTGTGTTTGGCATTGCATTTTTCCGTGGCAAAAGTTTTTAGTAGTCTTGCATGCAACTTGACGCTCTCGTGAATTTCAGAATGTCCGTGTTTTAACTTGACTCGTAATATATATTAGTTGATGCGAGAAGTTGTTACGAAATAACAAATTTAATAAATTAATCATTTGTCACTTTCGTTAATGCAGAAAATCAAGAAAAATTCTACCTGTACATCATAGTATCGGTCACAGCCGGTATTCTGATCTTTTTGGGCTTGGTAATTGGACGTCTTCTGGTCAGTCGCCATCGCGCCAAGAGAGACGCGAAGTTCCATGCAAATAACGAAGCAGTTCCGAATGGATTCAACGACGATATTTCGGAGATCGACGCTGACATCGATCTCACCACTCCGGTGCCAGTTCCCATGCAAGACACGAGGTTCGTATTTCATTTACTAACTTACGTTGATATTCTAGCTGGGTAAAATACTTTTTTAAGGGCGTATTCTATTCTAGAATGTAATTTTGGTTGTTCTTTAGAATTTTTGATGGAAAATGGTAAAATATTATTGTACTAAGTTTGACTTCATATGAATATACAGGGTGTTCCGCATTTTTCCGTACACAGTTCAGCAGTGCGTTCTACAAGTAAAACTAAGACTAAAATGTTATATAACACAAAATCTATAAATGCTTTGTTAAGCAGTAATAACAAAAATATGAGCTGTGAAACTCGGTTGACATTCAGGATATTAAAATAAGAAAGAAATGTATAATAAAATAAAATGAATCTTTTGTAAGCATTCGATATCGTGAGTTTCTTTGTAATTTACTGAATATAAACTTGAACAATACTTCAAAATTGTATGACAATAAGAAGTTATCATCGAAGAAAGAATACTTCAGCATCCAAGATAAATGATAGAAACTAAACTCTGATAAAGAAGTGTTTAAGTTATCCACATAATTCTATGTTAAAAATATTTTTTCGTGCCTCAACTAGCAGTTCTTCCCTTTAAACAAAATTTTAGCAAATTTGTTTGTTTAGTAAATAAAAAAATGTCACATTTCATATTTTTGTCATAACTTCTTAACAAAGCATTTATGCATTTTTTGTTATATGAGACTTTGATCTTATTTTTACTAGTAAAACACATTGCTGAAGTCTACGGAAAAATACGGAACACCCTGTATATTTAGATCTATATTTGATGAATAATCCACAATTTTTCCATACAGAAGTATTCAATATTTTATAAGTTACAATTACCTTAGCGCAAAGATCCTTCTAACAACGGTGCTTCCATGGTAGCTAGATAATAATCTCAAATATCGGTCCAAAGTTGTTGTGGCGCGCATATGGCCGCACAATGGCGCTTTACGTTGGAGTACTGGTCGACCGTAGGGGAACCACCAAGTGAAGCTCGCCACGCGGTCGCGGGATTTCTCGTGTTTGTTGTATTACCATCGAAACTGGTTTATAAACCATCTCTTCTTCGCTACCTCTGTAATTTCGCTCTATGGTGTATTAAACCTAAATAAATTACATTTTATATTATATCGGACCACAGTTATGAAATTTTGTTAAAAAAGTTAAATTTTACCGTGGCTACCTGAGAGTCTACATTTAAACCCCATTGAATATTTATATAAACATACCTATACACATACAGTCAATCAAAAAAGTCTCCGTACACGGCACTAAGATTTATTGAACGTTGTATATTATTTATTTCTGATCTCCTTCTTGGCTAATATACAACGTTCAATAAATCTTAGTGCCGTGTACGGAGACTTTTTGGCTGACTGTAAGTATACACAGCTTCATAGTCAAAGGGTTAAATATTGTTAAATATGCTTGTTGAGGGGTTGAGCAAAATAATTTAAATTTGTGAAAAAAACTTTCTGATATACTCAACTTCACACGTCAACTTTAATGACGAGTGAATGTTTGTGGGATACGGAAGGTAATATACGTTAATCACAATCAGTAGAATATTGTAACAACCAATAACTATTTATTCTTTGTCGGATAGCCGAAATGTACAAAATCTAGAATATAATATTGAAGAGTTGTGTCTAAGTATCAATTTTGATGTGCTGTCTAGGCCAAAGTTGCCCAAGAAGCTAACCTCGCCATGGGCGTACCCAAGGCCATGGGAGGAAGCATCAGTTTTAGATTGGTTAAAAATTGCTGATATGCCGGCCAATCAATTTGGAGGCGAAATTGGTCAGTGGGAGACGGCATGTAACTATTATTTTTAATAATTTTCCCTCGTCTGGGGTTTTCTGCAAGGCGGCTACGGGCCCAGGTCAGCGCTTGGTACCCAGATGTTTCCTGCGATACCTAACTTGCCATAAAACATCTGGCACCGGTTTTCGATGTGCAGATAGTAAAGTGATAGAACGCCTGGATTTGAAAGGGCCATACAGATTTGAATGAATTTAATAATTAAATAGCCGCCTTAATGACACTTGGTTATAGGCAGAACTTGATTGTGTGAAAGGTGTGACTCTACATCCGCTGGCTTTATGAATTTACTGTTACGCTGCAACACAGGATAAATCCTAATTGTTATTTCGCGCCGTAACAATGCTCGTTCAACTACAGGTTTGCGACGTAGTATGTCTCATTCGTAATTCTTCCTTGCAGGCTTCCGGAGACCCAGCTGGCCGAGAGACTCCACGGCGAGCGTTACTACGCGGACACAAGGATACCTTTGTCACCCACCTCGATGCATCCACAACCCGTCCTTCATCCCTCCGTCACGGGCGTCAGAGTGGATCTGGGTAATCATATGGTCGGTACCGACAATCTCCACACGATCCTGCGCCAGGAAAATCCACGAAGCCTCACCACCAAAAGCTACTACTACGGCTGACAGGAGGAAGGGGTTGTCCCGCGCGAGGGACGACCCCCGTCCTTGAGCCCGGTACCAGAAGTACGCACGCGGAATTACTGCTTTTAATCGAGACAACCGATTTTCTATGGCGCGCCTGACGAAACGAAGCCGCTGTAAACTGTGTTTGAGCCGCGATGCTCGACGTCGATCAATCGTTTGTTTCTTCGAGCGGCGAGTTGTGGAATTTGTCGTTCTCGCGCCTGGTACCGGAAACGAGCACGTGGTGGCGATACTTTTCTCATAATTTCTTCGTTCCTCGCGCGAAGGATCTGCGTTCAAGATGAGACTTTCATTTCCAGTTCGCAAGGTCTCGACGAATCGCGCCACGATTTTCTTCGGATTACGAGAGAACTTCGTGGCTAACGTTTCGATAACAAATGTGATCGCAAGGTATAGCTCGGTAAAGTTGAAATAAGAAACATAAGGTAATAAATCGAGCGATGGTAAACGAATGGTCTTTGGTTAGTTAGCAAGTATAGTCTGATACTGTTTAAAGCGAACAAGACCATCGAAAGATATCAAAACCTGACGCTGAATTGTATTCAGGAATCTTATTTAAATTGTTGAGCTATAGCTTCGCGCGAGCCAAAACCGTAGGGCGGATGTACATTAAGCTGGACTCAGAGAATCAGAAATGGAGGAGCTTTTATTGCGTAGCGAAATCGTTTCGTGCGCGTCTGTGCCTGACACTGGTAGTGAATGAAAGCTCGTCGAGCTAGCGAACGTTATAAGTACGATTTCAATGGTGAGATTTCGAGCCGTTTCGATCGAGATCTGAGAATCGCTAGCAATGGGACCGAGATGAGTTTAGATTCGTCGAAAACTGATTCTTTTGTAGCAATCGATTACATTGTATCGCTATGTACTTGTGAATTATGTTAAAAATAACTAGTAATAGATATCTTTATAGAATTTATCGCTCGGTGACCAAATGAAGATAATCCTTGCAAAGTTCACTGACACAATTGTACCAGATTTGCATATAATCTCTTATACGAATATTCAATAACTTACAGATTCAGCTACTAATTGTTTAGTGTTAGTATTGATTCATTCATGGATGCATAAATAATCAGGAAGTAATTTGTTTGTGAAAGTGAAATATGATTTAAGCAGTCGAAGATTAACCTCCTGAGAACTGGTCATTTTTAAATTTAATCCTGTATATTGTATATAGTTTACTAAAAACTTGCATACATCTTATATAAAGTTATCATGCAAATTCTATAATTGTATTATTGTTTATTATATTATATTAATGTGGAATAACAAAATTCTTTTAATATTATTCCTTAAAACTTCATATCACAGGATTTTTTACATTGTTAATAACGAATCTATAGTCAAATTTTGAAAATTAAGAATGATAGATATATGACAGACCTAATATTCTAAAAGCTTCTTAAATTCGAACTTTTTCTTCGGTCGCTGATAATGAATCTGCAGTCTTTACTTCAATAGGACCGACAAGTACGAAATTGATTTTGCCTCCAAAATGTGAATCCGCCATTTTGAATTTAAAATGGATCAATAGCGACCCAAGAAGTTACAAGTACTGATTTTCATTAAAGTTAGAATCTAAAGCATATTATGGTGCTTTTTCAGCACTCCAGAAGTTAGCTACACTTTGTTTCTAATTGGATTAGTATACCAAATCACTAAACTGTGTATGTAATTACTAACTTCTACTTTAATTTTCTACCTAGTTATAATTATTTAAAAATACGATAAAATGTATTTTCAAATCTTTCCTAAACCTATAAATTGTTTTGGTAATAGACATTTAGTAAAAACATAAAGAAAGCAAGAAGTATTCAATGTTTTATAGAACAAACGTTTTATACTAAACAATATTTGAATTGACAATAGAAGTAACTAAATATTTTGATTCAAAGCACATATACATAAATGCTTTAGAAAAAGACTGGCATTTATTAATATCATGCATTTTTCACTGATAGTGTTTGGAATTTTTAGTCAGTGGTAGAACTTGTCTTCAGACTGTATTTTGTTAGAAGTGATGTCTCTAATAATGACGTTACCAACGTTTATTTTTTTTCATTATTGACACATTGTCTACACAACTACTTAATTACATATACGATTACCTTTATATCAAGTATAATTCTTATTCACACCAGAAATAAAGTAAATGATGGCTAATATCAATTGGCTCAATAAACTAATAATTAAGATTTCGATATTGTCGCTCTTTAGGTGTCCAAAAAAACTTTTATTCATTACAATCGAGCATTATAAAGAGCGAATATTAATTATCAAAATGAATTTATTGCATACGCGGTTTGACTCGAATTATTATTTAGATATAAACATCTTAAAGTTGTTCTGACAATTATTTTAAATTCGTAAATCAGAATGATAGACTAGTTACACCATTATGAAAAATAACGAATGACCTATATTAATTGTTTCTATAAAATGGTTCCACGTCAATTACTATTTAGATTAATATGTATTCGAAGTTATTCTAATAATGGTTTTGATTGTATAAATTGTAATTACCGCGATGTTTGCATTGTATCGATTCTACAAGAAATTTCAATAATTAGGTCATACTAATATCAATGACATTAATTTCTATATTGGGTTGATACTTCAATATATCAATGAGTATGTCACTTTATCGGTCCCATCACTGGAGAACAGCTTTCGAAACGCATCGACAATTTTTCAGCCACCGAGCGGAAGTGGATATTGAAAATTCTTATTGTTGTTGAAGATGCTGTTGTTATTGAGAAATACTGTTTTTAATCAAGAGACGCGAGTGTATGACATTGGAGTCTGGGTTAGAAGATATAAGCACGTTGATTGTAAATGGAGAGAAAAATATTTTATGCGGAGAGGGTTCTCGTCTCGCGACTGGTACTAGAAGCGAGCACCTGAAACGTCGTTGAGGCTGTAAGAACGAATAAGATTGTAAACTAGAGTTTAATATCCGAATGTTCGAATCAGACGCTGGGAAAAGATTGTCGGAAATGGCGTAGAATGAATAATCGTCGATCGAACACATTCGTTTTGAATTATCCCCGAATATTACAAAAATATTTAATTTCGAATTAAATTCAGGTACGTTTCTAAATTTGATATTACTGCGTTGAAGGTTAACTCTAAAATAAATTTAAACGGAAAATATCTTAAGAGGAATCTTTGTTTCCTGCTGTTGCGTGAGGAACGAATGTCTGTACTCGATATAATTATGTCCATTTTCTCTAATCAAGTGCTAGAACGTTCTTAATTCCTGAAAATATTTTATTTACAACGAAATGTTGTTGCGACGAAGACGCACAAATTGAAGTATTACCAGTAATGGAAAAATTCAATTATAAAAAAGAATAACACTGCCTGTTCAACGGTAATAACAATAACAATAGGTGTTGGTCAAAAGGGTAGATCAATGTCCTACGTACGTACAATAATTTATTCATTGAGAAAGTTCACAAACATGTTTACGATGGACAACGTTTGTTTATTTGCTTCTTCGAAGAATACATATCTGCACAAACGATGTACAGCAATAAACAATTATATTGTGCATCCTTTATCGATTACGAATCATAATTTGCTGTCGAAAGATTGACGAGACTGTTCGTGAAAGTGTTATTGCATACTTTACAAGAAAACGAACCGAAGGTCCTTTATTGCGACCATGATTTTCCGTTGGATTTCGATTTCTTGCCAGGTATTACACGTTATCGACAATATCGTGTTCAAAGATGTCTTGTTCGTGATAACAGAGAACATCGATAACGTAACTGCCTCGATGATCATTTCACATCGCGAATTTTGTAAAACGTTACATATTCTCATTGAAAGAACAGAATCGTGGAGATTGAAAAAATACGAGTGGCTCAAAATGTAAATTGAAAAGGACATCCCAGATGTTAAAGCAAAAATTTCTGTTTGTTACAGCTATAAAATTAGAAAAACTTGGGGAACTCAGTTTATTTTTTAAATACTCTTTTCGTGCCGTACATCATTACGTTTAGATAAATTTCACAGAATAATCGAAATTTTCAAACATGTTAAAACACATTTATATATTTCTTATAAAAAAATAGCCTATTCGTTGAATCAATATGAAATACTACTAAATATGAATTTCAAAAGGTATACAGTGACTTTCAGAACATTCAAGAAAAATATTCTTGTTGCGAATTTAAGCATCATAAATTATCAATGACAAAATTTAGTTATTTTTTATTTTGCACAGTTTACAAGGAATATTTTCTTGCTTTACAAAGTCTGTACTGCAAACTATGAAATTTGCATAATATACTTTACAATTGTACAATTCTTATTACTAGACTTGTAAGTCTCAAATTATTTTAAATTATGTACTGTCATAATTGTACATACTTTGCGAGTCTTCAAGGAACGAAACAATACTTTCTATCGTGACACGATTTATAAACCTGACATTTTCATCTATTCGCTCAGGTAAATGTTAAAATAATGTGTACCGTTAATAGTAACATTCTGAGTCATTCATATTTTTATCATCGTACAATAACATGCTCGGAACAATAGTCAGCAGCACCGCTCAAATTTCTTTTGATCGGAATTCAGTTCGCAGGAACAATGACAGCGATCAAATAAGAACCGAAGCTGCACATAATACACGAACGAAAACGACACGATCGAACGACACGAATCGACGATCGATCGATCTCCCTATATTAATTACAATCCCTAACAACTAGCTTCGTGGGAAGGAAATGTACCAAAAATAAAAAAAAAACAAAAAATAGAAAAAAAACAGAAAAAAGTGCGATCGATCGAACTTCCGTTTTCGATCGACTCGATCGGAATCGGTGGTGGTCACAATCGATTTATTAGTTCTAAGGAAACAGGAAATCGATCGATCTCAACGAAGTTACAGCGGTTTTGTATCACGTGTACACATACGAAACCAGAAATGTACCGCGAAACGAGTTTTATAGAGAAACGATCTGTATGTATATCACGCTGTAAATAGGAACAATGTAATTTACCATAACGTTAAGGGAACGAAGTAAAGAGATAAAGAGCAGTGTGAGTGAGAGTGTGTATCTGTATCGAGAGTGTAACGTAATCGGAGAACGTTCCGTAGTCGAGAATTACTCTCTGTGCCATCGAATCGATTTCACGAGCGACTGCTGTAATCGATCGTGATCGTTAATGGGAATGGATCCGGTCAGGATCTCGGAATGCGTCCAGCCAGCGTGAATAAATCTATTCAGACGACGTTTAAATCATGAATCAGTTCAACTTTGCGAATTTCTGTCGTTCCAAATTCATCGCCTATAATTTGCGACCATTTTGAAAGAAGATTGTTTATCCGCGATGCTTACAAATTCACTATGAAGCTGTAAAACTTCGTTGAATGTAAAATTGGCACTAGCAAATTTGTGGAACTTGGGTAAAATTGTTCTCCCTTGCAGTGTCAATTAAGTTGAACTGAAAAGAAAACGAAAACAACGATTTTTCGATATTTAAGTTGCGAATTCTTTTGACTTTTGTAGTTTAAAGTAGCAGACATTTATTTACGCACAATCAGAAGGTAGGAAAGTTAGCCCTTATTTGGAAAAATACTTAGAAATTATTTTTGAAGACGGATATAAAATTTAATTAAATGTTTATTTGACATCTAAAAATGTATATGTAAAACTACAAATCTACTGAAGTTCATGAAATAAATTTGATTTGTGTAAAATTTATGGATAATCACGAGCAGCCACTCTGTTCGAGTTGGTAGAAAAAGTGTCACGTGACCAAATTAGTCTGAAATAAAAGACAAGGAAATTTCTATTCGAAATACTTTTTCGCGACATAATTGAAAGAATGCAAAAGTATTGGGTAAAAGATGTAATATTTACCTTCGAATCAATATGAAAATTGATTGTTTTTCATTTTAGATTATTTGATACTGACTATATTAAGTGCATAAGTTAATA